AGATAAGGATTGAATATGTGAAAACAATTTTTAAAAAGAGAGAGAGAAAGAAATCAAAGTACGATCCAAAAGCTGTCACAAAACTGTAAATAATCACCAAATGACTGGTACAGGTACTAATGTTATCAGAAGGAAGAGACCACCATGGGCCTGAGCAGACTGCCAGGACTGCATGGAAGTGAAAGGTACTGAGTTGAAATTGGAAGCCAGAAGGCATCTTTAGGCCTGTGTGTTCAGAATCCTAGAATTTTATTTCTGCCATGTTCTTTGGTCGAAGCCAGTCTCAAGGCCAGCCCAGATTCAAGGGCAGGGAAATAGCCTCCACCTATTGATGGGAGGAATGACAAAGGCACGCTATAAAGTGGTATAGTCACATGGAACTGTATGTCATTGAATTACAGGTACAGGAAGTACCCTGTAATTCAAGTTCTCCAGACTTATCTCTTGATATAAAGGAGAGCTTTTATAATTTTCTTCCTCTGCTGTAACTTTCTTTTCTCATCTTGTTGATAACAAAATGTAACTTTATATTCTCATTCATATGTAATATAGAAGGATAACACATATATAGATGAATGTAATTTTCTGGTTTGATAATAAAAGCATTGTTAATTCATGACCTTTGATAATCAAGCTGCTAATGTTAGTTCTGTCCCTAATTGTTTTCTCATGCCAAAATGTACCTGTTATTAACCTCCAAGATGCTAGATGATAGCATGGAAAGGGTAAGAGCTCTAGAATCAGACCAATTTGGTTTAGATTCCAGGCTGTGCCACATATTGTCTGTGTGACTCTTTCAGCTGTCATATCGTAATCTGTAAAATGGGGACATGTTAGTCTATTCTTGCGTAGCTGTAAAGAATTACCCGAGGCTGGGTAATTTATAAGAAAAAAAGGTTTATTTTGGCTCACTGTTCTGCAAGCTGTATAGGAAGTGTGATGTTGGCATCTGCTTCTGGTGAAGGCCTCAAGAAGCTTCCAATCATGGCGGAAGGCAAAGGGGAACCAGCATGTCACATAGCAAGAGAGGGAGCAAGGTGGGGGAGGAGGTATCAGGCCTCTTTAAACAACCAGCTCATGTGTGAACTAACAGGGAGAGAACTCACTCATCACCAAGAAGATGGTGCTAAATCATTGATGAGGAATTAACCCCCATGACCCAAACACTTCCTACCAGGCCCCATCTCCAACATTGTAGATTACATTTCAACATGGAATTTGGAGAGGATGAACATCCAAACCATATCAGGGGATAATTGTAATTCCCCTGCAGGCTTGTTATTATTGTTAATTTTGTATTTCTATACTAAAAGAATTTAGCTTGAATTTAGTTTTGAAAAACTAGTACTTCTATTTAAAACTTACAATTTGACTTAATTTGGCAGAGTGCAATGTATTTTGGCTTTGATCTTTTATATCAGCCTCTCAACAGCCTACACGTTTAAAATTAAAATTCAGTGTTACACATTCTATTCTGAGTTGGTATTTCTAGACCACAGTTACTTCTTTGCAGCTGTTTCTTGTAGAATGTGGCTTCTCAAGCCTGGACAGAGCTGAGTTTCTCACCAGGGTGCCCAATATATGTAAGTGGGCCGCCAGCAGGGAGGAAGGGTGGGCCTCTGTGGACAGGTTATACCACTTAGTGAGATAGTCAGTTCCGTTCAGTATTCTTTTCCCCTGAGCAGATCACAATTCATTATTAAAGCCCTAATCATGAAACTGGGGGTACTATGAAAGATCTATGATCAGCAATTATAAAACAATCATAATAATGGCTACTGTTTATTGAGTACTTAGTATATGCCAGGAACTATGTTAAGTGCTTTCTATGTATTATCTCATTTATTTTCAGAGCAACCCTATGAGGTAGGTACCACTACTATCCCCATTTTAAAACCTACAATGACATATCAGTTTATGAAAGTAGTATAATACACTGTGAAAAATGAAAATACACAGAAAGGAAAAATGAATACACTATATTTTTACCAATCAGAGAATATTAATGTTAACATTACATGAACTTCTGGAATTTAGAAAACCTCTTTATTTTTTGCTAAGCCTAAATTTAAGGCTATTTTCTAAATATCTAAGAGAGAAATTCTTATTTTAGAAAGTATAATCTGAACCCTGAACTCACAGTAAAAGCAGGATCCTTTCTTTCTGTTTGTATTCCTGCTTTAGCAATCTTAATTATCTCTAACTCTTGGATGAATCTGGCTGAATATCAGGTAGGTCTTATACAGAGAAGGGCAAAAAGATAAGCATATGAAAACATTACTTTAAAAACCAAACAAACATTTTTACAGTGTATTGATTAGCTACTGATGGGAGAAAAATCACAAAATCTGAGCTTAAGAATGAACTTTAATTTGCATGAACAATAAGAACTTACTCTTGATCACACATTTTGGGGTAAGCTGGAATGACTTTTCTTAAGCTATGAGTCTTCAAGTAGACTGGGGTGGCTTATTTTGAGGCCCAGGCTAGATACAGGAGTAATGGCTACCACGGTGTGTTTTTCTCATAATGATGACTAAAGCAAAAGGGGACAAGCTCAACAGTATAGGCACTTGTCCAGTAATATCCGAAGGGCCAAAGCAAGTTAGATGTGAAGCCTGAAGTTAAGGGATGGGAAAGGACACACCTACCATGAGTGTCCTTGGCCCTGAGACCAAGGCAAGGATATACATGTATAACACTGCTATGTCATAATGAAAGGTTAGGACTAATATTAATAATTTAACCTACCACACCCACTTCCATGTATATATTTATTCCTATCCTCATCCATCTACTTTACAAATATATGTGTGTGTATATATGTATGTGTATATGTGTGTGTGTATACACAGATGCAGAGGCATATATATATGTATGATATACATATGGACACAGACACACATGTACACAGAAGATAAAACATGTAGCTATGTGTAAAAGTTCTTTATAAAACATGAAAATGGGATAGCATATGGAAGCAGGGTGATGAGTCTGTTACATTTATTGAAAAACACCATAAAGAACAAGTATAAAAGCATTTTGGGGACAAGACTAACCTACATTTGATGATAATTCGGACCCTGGAAACTTGGGGAAGGGGACAAGGGCAAAGGTGGCAGGGGGCATGCAGGGCACAGAATTAGGGGTAAGGACGAGTGAATGAGAAGATATTAAAAATGCCCACAATTTTGTGAGCCTAGGGAGTTTGAGAGAGACCATGGAGACACTGACCGGGAGACAGAATTTGTGAAGGGTGACTTGAAGAGTGGTCTTAGCATGGTCAGGTTTCAGGTATCAGCAAACATCAAACAGGTTATGTTCTCCAGATAACTGAACTTTGGTAGTATGTTGAGACAGGCACACTAATTAGCTTTGTTTGTGACCATGAACAAAATTCTAATGTATCTTCCAGCACTTAAATTCTACAGTCCTTTGACCTTTGTTGAGACCTGCAGTTGGAGGAATATGAACAAAATAGTTGCTAAAGGAGGTTAGGGAGAGAGAAAAGAACAAGACTTGTATGTCAGGGATCAAACTGATGTCCTCCACATAAATGTTCTTGGTCAGCATAGGGTTATTGTTCTTGTTATTCTTTTTGAAATTCTTTTTTATTTTTCTTTTTTAAAATTGGAGACTCCATAGGCTAGATACACTTCTCTAGTCCAGCCACAGACCCCACCAAGCCCTCTTATCTTAGATCTACCCACTTCACACATTCACATTAAGTCTAGTCCTGGAAGACACTGAGATTTTCATCCCTGCCCTTAGTCTTAGGGCTTACCGATTGTTTGTGGGAAGGTGGAAAACACTCAAAAGCAGGAAAAACCAAAGGTAGCTAAGCATTGAACCACGAAAGTCAAGATTAAATGATGTTTTAAACAAGTACTAAAGTTACCAGATTGGTCCAGAAAGCTGAAAATCAAGCTTGTTAAAATCTCTGTTGGTTCTTTTATAACTTGACTAGATTTTGGACTCTGCCAAGAATAGAAATAATGTCTGTTATACGTTCTGAAGCTTTATCTTACAGTGAGATTACAATGCTACACTCTTCAGGTGTAAAGAAAGAACTTTACAATCCTCAATTTCAAAACAAAGAAAGGGAGAGAAGGGTGTGGAGACAGGAAGAAAAAGAGAACAAAGGATTAAGAGTTGCCTCACCATTCCAAATAATAGAGTTTTTGTTTAGAATAACCCAGATGAAACATGTTTTTTAGGCCGGGCGCGGTGGCTCAAGCCTGTAATCCCAGCACTTTGGGAGGCCGAGACGGGCGGATCACGAGGTCAGGAAGATCGAGACTATCCTGGCTAACACAGTGAAACCCCGTCTCTACTAAAAATACAAAAACTTAGCCGGGCGAGGTGG